ATATTACCGCCGCGCGAATTATTGACACGATAGCTGTTACGGTTGCTGATATAGTGACCGTCTTGCCAAATGCGGTAAACGGGCGACGATCCATTATTGCGGAATATCTCGATGCACAAGTGATAAAACACCACCCGCGAGTAAAATTGACTAGAATAATTCTTTTCACGACGATATTCGCCTTCGATATTGTCGGGACAAATCTAGCTTTCACAAAACTCGGTATAAGATGCTTCGTCAGCCACTGTTTCAATTAGGTTTCAATCGGATGCTGCTTCGTCAGTTGATAAATTCGAGTGGGAAGCGACGCCGCTAAAAGACTGAGATGGTTTGTAACGTTTTCGCGAGACCGCTTGTATTTCAATTCCTCGTCCGTTGGGACGTTTCTGGGTAACCGCGGAATAATTCATCGGGACAGTCTTCAAGGAGTTGTTTCGAACTCGGTCTCAACGGATCGTGAGTAATGCGCGGTAGGAGCCGATATTTCTTGCCGCCGGCTGTCGCTGCATCTCGCAATAACAATTATTTTCAACGACTCTTTTTTTATACAGCCACAACTTGGGAATTGGCGGGAGTAGAAAGCGCGGAAAAGCGGAATTGATGGAGTGCCTGGAAATGCCAGCCGTGCACTGCCGCGATTTATTTTGCGCAACGAGCGGAAGATATTTGCTCATTACTCGGAAATGTTTCCGAATAGATAACGTTGACATCGTCGCTTGATCACGAAACTCGCGTAATCGTATAAATGTCGCGGAATATTTATATCAAAAGTGTATTTCTATTTTAGAGTCAATCTTTACTTGGTGGAAATTCAAACTGCAGTATAATTTTGCAGAGTTATTTCAAATTGGAAATTCCGAGATATTTCTAATTTAGACTAATAATGCAAATAGAAATTAAAACTTTCCAATTAATTTCATCTGGATATTAAAATAAATGAATAAATTTGAAGTTAAATTTCAAGCTAATTAGGTATTTTTAAAAATCTAAAGATATATTTTTAAAAGGACATTACGATAATGCAATACTGCAATAATGCAATAATCATATAAAAATATTCCAAGTTGTAGTATGTATTTTTATTTTAAAGAAAATAAACCGCGAAGGATTTAACTCTCTATTGACGAGCCAATGATGGCAGCGATTGCTAGTTTCGCAAACGATCAATCGCGATGTGAAACACGATGCCATTACTGCGTTCGTTTACGATACGGAGGTTTATGACGAAGCTAATTGCGCGAGGAGCGACCGCTTCCCTCATTTGGGTGGAATAATGCTAATGACTTATACGTAAGTGCCGTTCGTTAAAGAAGAGTCACGCGACAAGATGCATGTCTGCGGTGCATTTTGCAGCCGTCGTGACTGAAGAGCCTATCGACTCTCGCGATCATTCTTGGAAATTTAATAGACACGTCTCAACGCTGTATCCTTGATACTAGCTCGATGATACTAGTCCGCGTTCTCGCGCCCCATAGAACGTTCGTGCGCACGCAGATAAGCGGGCTAAAGGATCCGTTTCTTGAAGCGTCGCGGGAATAAAATTCGCCCCGTTAGTCTCGCGCGCCGGAAATCCTCGTCCGTCGTCGAAAAGAAAGCTCGACCGTGTCCGATAAACTTTTCGTGCGAAAAGCGATTTAGATGGTAGTTCGCGAGCATGTGGCTAGCACGGTTTATCAAGAAGGCGCGACATTCGCCCGCGATCGTGGTAAAGGACTAGACTGGTGGGAGATAAAATTAATTACGATACGTTTCATTCTCCCTCCGCTGGAAAGGATAACGTAGTAGTCGAGATACCGCGAGAATGATTGCTCTACAGATAGCAGGGGTATCGGACGATGAATTTTGAACTCACTGTGAAGTAAAATAAAATTTCTATTCCATTCGTGCTACCACAAGTTAGAATATTTAATATTAATGAAATAATAAAATTAAATCTAGAGAAGCTCATTAGAGTATTGTAAAAAAATTCGAAACTTTGTTTTTATCATGTTATCAAATATATAAATGGTTAATGTATTTAATGTTCACACAACCATTTAATGTTCACACAACGGTTAACAATAGTTATAATGTGGAAGCGCATTAAATTATTATAAGCGCATTAAATTATTCGGGATAAAAATATGATGCAATTCGGCCCGACTTGATCCGACTTCAGTATGTAATCAGTACTTAGAACAACGAAAGGGATGATCATCGTTAGATTCAATTCTAACTCAATGTTATACCACGAGAATGGAGGCTGCACCGGAGGATTAGCCCAGGGGATAAGGCCATTATCAGGCAAGCCTGAAATTACTGAACATTACGTATCGGCACCAATTACATTTGGCCTCTCATGCGCATATTCACATGTATACGCGTACTGTAGCAATATAACACCGCGAATACGAGAGCCGGGATGATTGCTCCGTTTATACGGCGCGCAAATACGCGGAGATCCGTAAAGCAGGTGACATGATACTCCGAGCAGATCATCGCCAATTACGAAGATTGCTCGCGATATTGCATCGGCGAATATTATATATCATGATTAGTAGTAACGATGAGAGAAAAATCTGCGCAAACGGAAGCGTATTATTTGTAGCACGGTAATTCAAGAATTAAATGGTTCGATATGTAAACACATGGATTTATACTTTACATTGCACCGAAAGATTTATTATAATTTGACGAGTTGTGCACACTCGCGACAGAGGAGTTGGAGTTGTTTATTAATCGTCGCAAAAAAATCCGTTTTAAAGCTGATGAACATGGCAATAAATTTAGAGGGTTTTTTTATCTTCTTGGTCTTGAGTCAACGTAGTTAGTATGATCCGCTGCTAAATAGAGCTTTAAATCCTCCGTAAACCGGGCATAAGTAGGTACGAGTAGGTTCGAGTTTTATAGCGATTATACGTCGAACCCCCTCCTCTCGTACGGGCGGCACACTCGCGTGCCTCTGTGCCGCAGATTTTATGGGCCAATAAAAACGAGTATCACCCGCGAGAGGTAGGCACACTATGTAAGACCTTGGTAAACAGAGAGTTACCTGTGTCAAGTAGCTGTACATACGTGTCGAAATCAGCCGGTCCGCCAACCGGTCGATAATAATGTGAGCGTTTATTTTTACACAAAGATTTAAACTAATTCCAGCAAAATGCTTGAACAAATGCTGTATTTAGTCGCTACATAATACAGTCGTAGCTACAAGCTTTATTTTAACGAGTTATATTTAAGTAGAGAAAATCCGAATTACTATTAAATTGCTGCAATGCATATTTATGGCGCTCTTAATACAAAAAAGCGGAATTACCATGCTGAAATATGGAAGTATCTTGATCTGAACTTACACGGTCCAGACTCTCGTCTCGTGACATTATTGCGAGGCGCCACGGCTTCGTGAAATTTCGTGTTTTTGTAATATGCACGCCCGGTGGGGTAGATTGCCGCGGCCGATATGCAGTTCCGTGAGGTTTTCGGAGAAAATTGAGCAATTATATGGCATTGCGTGAGAAGCGGGCGTCCATAAAGCGAACTTCGCCAGTGGATCCGCGTTTCTGGGCCACCCTGTACGATCTTTGGGCAGCTTTACGTAGGCTTGTGTAACTTGTAATATGCAGGTTCGCACTTACGTACGCGCTTGTATGCGTATGTGGACAGTGACTAGGTGCGCCGCGTCATAAATCTGCCAAGCCGTGGCAAATTAAATCATTATCTGGAAGCTGCGAGCAAATTGCGTTGATGCAGGCCCCTATACGTTTCTCATTCCTCTACGCATTGTGCTGACGCTTCTTTTTCCTACCTTCGCATTCCTCCGTCCGCCCTTTATACGTCGTTATCGCGATTTTACGTTCTCGCGCAGGAAGCATCGCGAGTGTTTCCTCTTCTTGCGGCTTGCGCGGCCGACGCGGCGGTTTGCAGTTATGGCGCGTAGACTAATACACATAAATTTCAGGAGATGATGATAAAAGGTCTGTGGCGGCGGCCGGAGATCGTGTGCTATTTTGCGCCGAGTTTCCGGAAAATTTTCAACTTTCAGCGTCATAATCTTCGTTATAGTCAGCGCACCGCTTTCATTTCTCCCAAGTGTTTTAGAAACGTGCATCGCATATGATGATCGTAAATTTTATTTAAATATGTTACGTCAACATGCGCAGAAGTTAAAATAAACCAAAAAATTTTTCCACTAAATTGTGAAAAATGCTTGAAATATATTTTAAATTAGAAATGTGTATTTTTATAAATATTTATACAGTGAGAGAGAATCTAGGCCATTTATTTGCATAATAACTCGTTTCGTTGATCTCCAAAATCGTACAACCAATAAAGTAAATGGCACTGTCGGAAAACAATTTTTGAAAACAGTTTACCGCGAGACAGCCACTCTCGTCCAGAATTTTCATTCCGACAGTTCCGGTTCACTTTGTCGCGACATTGACAAAAGAAGTGCATTTCAGATACGCAATAAATCACCTCTGAAAAATTGGCTCGTGCGCTGTAGCCAGACTATTCGACCCGATTTCGTTCGAGCTGTTGGCCGTGAGTCGTCAGCCGGATCCATTAATTAATCTGCACCGTTAACGAATAACTACTCTGATTTTTACGCGTGAAAAAAAGAACGACGTTCTTGTCATCAACGGAAGGTCGTAGCACACGAAATATATCTTGCTTTTTTCGCACAAGGTATACTGGGGCTATTCTGATCAAAATAGATTCACCACACATCAGTATTGCACACAGTGTTTAAAATACAGGATAAAATTATTAGTTTAAAAATTTACTATAATAATTATCTTAGTTTCTATATAAAATATCAGATGGCAAAAAATTAATAATTTAAGATTAACAAAAAAAATTTTATTACGTAAAAAAATTGAAATAATCAACCCCGATGTAATTTTGCTTAGAATAAAAAAAAATAGAATTCTATTAATTATGAATAATAATATTATTATATCTATAATTGTATAGCCGTTTTTTGGACGCTATTGTAATATGAATGTATTTTTATTTTACAGATAAACTTTGGTGCGTCTTTCACGTTTCGAACCGTCAGATGAGTTCGGTTGTAATTTCTGTTGTAACAAAATACGCATCGTCGAAGTGCCGTTTAAAGTATCGCGTCGGGAGTGCCGTTTAAAGTATCGCGTCGGGAGTGCCGTTTAAAGTGTCGCGTCGTTCGTATTTGTATAGTGCATATCTTCACGAATGCGTGTGAGAGCAAGATCACTGAGAAAAGGAGGAGGAGGAAAAAATATTGGACAACGTTTAGTAACGCTGTGGTAAGTAATTTGCAATTTAGCTATAATGGAAGAGGAGAGGAGAGAGAGCTAAAATTAAAACTGTGTCATCGACGCGATCATATAACCGAATAGATTGCAATCTTAATTGCGTATTTGACAGTTCACAATTTAATTGATAAAAGCTTCGCGTTTGATTGCCGTAGCAGCTAATGCATTGACATTCGTTGACAGTGCAGATTTTATCTCTCGTCATAATCTTTGTGCGACTCAGAGTCGCAGCGAGTACATTAGATCATCGGGAGCAACAGGGAAGTTGTCTGTAAATTGCAACTGACGATTCAATCGCGCTTGCCACATTATATCAAACTTCGGTCGTTCTAACGCGGTTCGACGCGCGGTATATCAGATCGATGCATGTAAATGGCCTCTACGCGCGTTTACAACAAACATAATCTGCTTACTATAACAAAGTTGAAAAATGTATGCAATTTTTTAACGCAATTTTTTAATTATTCTTATTTTATACTAAATAAAAATAAAATTTAAACACGGTTTATAATAATATTGCGTTCGAATTCTTTATAAATTTTCGATTTTTGATGACTACAAACGTAATGCGAATATCGGCCCGTGTAAACGTGACCTATCGGAAAATCGAAAGTGTAACTCACCAGACCGTCGCAGGCAGACAGGGCGACACGGGAATTCCGATGGCCCTTAATGAATCCCCGATAATGACATTTGCTGCCATGATTTTTCGCCGGGCTGCGAACGTGTAGAGACCGCTTCCGCCTTTCTACGACCATCGCACGGCCGATGAAGTTGTCGGCCGTTGACAGTTCGAGGTGATATTCATTACCGGCTACCGCCACTCGGTAATGAACGATTGGCCCGTCCTCGTGATGATGATGTGTTACATTATGCGAGATCAAATCGCCTCGGAAATTCACCTTCCGTGGTATTACGATTTCGTGATCGTATAAGTGTTCCTGCGGGGTGTACATTCCTGAAAACATAGAAAAGCTCATTGTATATCGGGAAAATTAATATTACTTTTAATAATCGGATATATAAAATAGCAAATTAAAAATTGATTTGTAATTTCTGATGCATAGAAAAGCTCACAATGTTCATTTTGTCTTCATCACGTTTGATTTAATACTATCCCCGCAAAGTTCTGCACTTATCACCGGACAATATACCATATTTATTGAGTATTTACCGTTCAACGATTTCACTTAGGCAATAAAGCGTAATGTTTATTATATTACACGTAAATGGACAGTAGTCTCGTAAAAGCTGAACGGTCGTTCGCGCGCATATATGAATGATGAAATCTCGGCAGACCGCTTGGTTGCCTGTCGGAGAGGATCGGAAAATTAAAAGCGGGTGAGCCCTCGTGATAACATGGTAGCGCAACATGCGACAGGTACGCACCGTAAATGCCGTGCAATATTCTGCGATTGATTTAACGTGCGCGCTCGCGCGCTTAGAAAGGTGTCGCTTGCTACGTTCGATTAACGCCCTCGTTAAGTGCCGCCATCGCCGGCGAGATGGATGACCGAATGTGAGCACACAGTCGGGTTTCTTCGACACGCCTAATCTCTCATTGTGATGGGCCCGAGAGACCGTTTCGGACGACAAATCCTCGGATTGAGGTAAAATCGCGTCTCTCACTGATGTCTCGGAACGAACAGTTCTAAGCCTCTCACGTAAATTACGAGACACACGAGAATGGGTAACCGACATCGGGAATTTACAGCTATAAAGTGACAATAGTACTATTGCCGTCGTAGACCGTGGTAATCTCTTCGTGGTAGTTGCATTTCGAGTTTCGATTCTTTTGTCTTTCGATTTTTCGTTTTCGGGAAATTTACTCGCAAGCTCAGGTTGCATTTCGAGCGGGCGACGCGATAAACTGTATTCATCACTGACTACAGCTTACTAATCGATCGTTTCTATTCTTGACTATTGTTGCTGATGATCTAACGTTTAATGGATAATTGTAGTTAACCTTTGTCCACGGAGAATAGAAAGAAAAGCACGCAGTCGAGAACACAGACGCGGTTCAACTGCGGCAATATGTCTTCATATAAGAATCGTTTGACAATGTCGTTATGATCTCGTCTGCATGCGGGCGACGGTCTACGAAAGATGCCTATCTGCTTGATCTCGTATTTTTTATATTTTTTTTTCTAGAAACTAGTAATTTATCCCGATTAAACTTCTCAATATCCTTCTAGAAATATGTAAATGTAATACTTGAATGACATAATTTGATTTAATTTCATGATGATAGTCATAAGAAAATTATTTAATTCTACGTAAAAATCATACATATATGCATACGCAAACAGAAAAAAAGATGATCCGGATAATAAATCTGAACTACCTTACAAATCAGCGCGGCTAAGTCATTGCGTGAGTTGAATAAATTAAAACCAAATGAAGCATACATTTCTCGACATTAGATACGAGTTATTAAATGTTATTAAAAGTGAAGTGTCGAGAAGGGCAACGACTTCATCGGGCAGCCTTAAACATTTCCATACATCTTGCGTAATCCTGCGAAACATGAGATTACGATTGAAACGTAGGTGTACATCATTGGTTTGTATTGCTCCCGACAGCCTGCGCCCAATAGTTTCTGCTAGTTAATGGTTTTCTCGTGATCGCTCTAAAGTCGGCTGCGCCATGAAATGTTCGCCACGCCGACGATGTTCCACGTGAACGCAATCGGAATGCGCGAGCACCGGCAATCGCAGTGGGTGGCTCTCTGATCCGACAGCAGTAGCAAGTACCGTGAACGATTTACACCATTTATCGGTTAATTTCATCTCTACATTAATATTAAACAGTAATCAGCGTGTTGGTTATCCGGCCCGGATACCATGGCATCCGTTTTGATATACAGTCGCACAGAAGCGTCGTTTATCTAATGCGGTTTATTACTGACGACGTCTGAAATATCTCTAAAATTCCGACATTCATTTAAACATTCAATGTAATATATGTATATATACAGGGTGTCTCAGAATGATTGTGCCAACGCTTACGATGAAGGAGAGTAAATTGAACAGAAAAATCCTTTACCGTTTGCAATTAATTATTGCATATTAATATTAATTAAGATATTAAAAATATTAAGATATGAATTGAATGAACGTGTCACTAGATCGTAAGATGTACGTTCTAGTAAGTAAAGTAAAGTAAAGCTTCTGCCTTCGCGTGTTATTTCTGTCCTCGTCGAACGATCAAACTTTTCGTTGTCGTACAACACTCCCCACTGTCATGCCTAGAGCGTACATCCTACGGTTTACCTTTGCAAAGCATGCACTCAATTCTTTTCAATTAATATCTCTATAATTATTGCAAACATTGCAAAACAATAAAGGATTTTTCAGCTTACTCTTTTTTATCCGTTCACAATCATTCTGAGACACCCTGTATAACTATAGTATTGTTTCGGATATCATTGTAATATAAATGTATTTATATTTTACAGATAAACTCTGTGCGTAATCAGTGCTACAAAATATATTCGCTCTGTAATATAATAAAATGCGCGTCGGGAGTGCCGTTTAAAGTGTCGCGCGATTTTCGTATTTGAGTACGCGCGCGAGCAATGCGTGCGCCGCGACGCGCGCGCGTGAGTGTGTGTGTGCCTCGAAGGACCACTGAGAGGAGGAGGAAGCCATAGGCGACATTGGGCAACAGAACAACGATACGGTAAGTAATTTATCATAAAAAATGCATTTTTGTAATAGTGAAGTAATAGTGAAGAGGCTATATATATCCACGCCTTTTACGATGATACATTACGTCGTGATATGTAGAGCCATCAAGACGAACGAAAGCATTAATGCTGTGCGGACTATGTTATTGCTTGCATTCCGCCGTGATATTGCGTATGATCTACTGCGAGGGACACTGGTTATTTCATTAAAATGCGTGACCGTTCTGTAATCGCAGATATTGAATTTTATCTCGTCGCATCTCGCGCAATATCTCTTGCGTTTCAAGACGTAACACGGTGCTTTGAGTCGCCTTGACGAGGGATCAACCTATCCGCTTTCCACGCTCGACCGCGATCGCTAGAAGGCGGCTAGATAGGTGGATGAACAGGACGCGAGAGAGAGAGATAGGGGAGGGAGAGATAAAGAGGTGCCGTCTAGTGCAGGTAGTTGAACAGTGCAATCATCATTATCCCATTATCATTAAAGTCGGAAAAATGGCGGGGCGACCAATGGGCGCGCGCCTCGGGCGAGTCGGGGTTAACTGCAGGTGGGGACGTCGGACGGAGATACTCGGACCTCCCATACAGGCTGTACCCACTGTAAACGTCTCGGTGCACACATGATCATCGGCCGTTTCTACGCCGTGTATACGTACTAACATTATTCCGCTGCCACCACGACTCGTCTAATTGCGTATAATTAATGATGCGCGCTGTCCCGGGTTAACATAATTATACGCGACTTATGTAGCGAGTTATTAATTGGCCGTTCTTACCTGCCGACAGTTAACTTCGCGTCCATACACAGGGCATAGAATCGAGTAACGAAAATATATTTCTCACCGTGGATAATAATTTTGTATTTCATGTTCAAATTAAAGAACTTGACGAGTACAAAATATTTGATATATTCGTATTTCGAGATACACTTTTTTTGTATTACTAAATATTCTTTTTATAGAGGAAAATTTTTTATGTAAAAAGCTAACTCATATTTTTAATGATGGGTTACCGTGTTCCTATTTAAGGATAATTGCGATTGTGAGAAGTAAAAAAAAAAAGGTGACCGATCGCCGGATGATTAACCGGCGTGCTATTCGCGCGGTTTTTCGATTCCCGGGAAGAAACCGTCTCGCCACGCGTAAGAATTCTGACAGATTTAGAGGTGGCCAAAAGATCGACCCTCTTGTGGAATTTATGGGAATCCGCGCGTATGGAAATCCCGTACTGCAGATCGGCGCGATAATTCAGGAGCCGATCGCAAGGCCGATACGCGAGGCATTTCGTATGTCTGATATAACGTAATTTATCGTCGCAATGCTGTCCGCCTACCGTCGGCCGTCGATCGCACCGGTGTTCTGTACTTCGTCAGTGTCGTCGGCTTACTTCACGTGCACGCAAAGACTGACGTTGCTACGATCTAATCGATAAAACATTCGTCTTCCGCCGGTCTCTCCGCGGTCGCGATCAATAAGGAAGTATGATCGACGCACGCGCGTTTGGTCCTTCCGACGCAATCCAAAATTCGGGTTTGCCAGTGGAAAGTAGGGCGCAATCGGGCGCACGAGGGAGCACGATCAGATATTTCCCTATCTGCGTGACAGAATAATTAAATTTATGGCAACGTGCGCGCTGGAAGACTATTTTCAAATTCTATTCAAACAATCGCGAGTGTTGTATTATTTGCAGAGATTTATTATACCTCCGCTTTCCCACATACAAAGCGGGGATATGACTGCGGATTTCGATTCCGGTTTCACGGTTCCACGGGTTGTCACGGGCGAGTCGCGGAGGCGCAGGAGCCAAAGTTATTAGGCGTCGGAATGATTCTTTATCGGCGATACCTGGGTATTACGGTAGAAACCAGTTCCTCTAGATGACTCATTCCCGGGCCCATCTCGCGCGCCAGGCCATCTCAACGGTCCCGCAAGAATGGACCCTCCTCCACCTCCGGCTCCCCCCCGTCTGCCCTCATTAGCATATACCTACTTATCGAATTCATTAAAGCCGTCACGATACCCGCGGAAATATAACCGAACTACGCAGCGGGACGCGAGTGTCCCTAGGACGGGTTTCTCGTAATCGTCGGCTTGAATCATCGGCTCCTAGCTTCGCGACAGCCGATCTAATCGCTCGTTTTACGACGCCGAAACTTGACACCACTTTCGACTCACGGCGACCTTTATCTGAAATCCGGTGTAAGTGCCGTTGAGTAAATTTACTTGTACGCCGAGAACGGACCGTCTTGCGCGCGTAAAACGCGGTTCTCGAGCGACTTGTAAATTATGCGAAGTCTCGATGAGTTGTCGGTTGGAGGCTCCTTTTTGTAAAATATAGCAAGTCACGTTGCTGCTAGCTCCTAAATCTTTATGAAATCTGTACCTTTTATGAGCGATATAAATTCTTTTCTGACTTTATAGAAGTAAAGAAAAATTGAAAAATACTCAATCGTTTCATAATAATGAATTAGTTCTCAGTTTATTGAGATCGGCTTTGGCCTTTCCTAAATTATTAAAAAATGATCTTATAATGATCTAAATTATCAGAAGGTTCATAAAACTCCGCGAAAAGAATTTCAGATTCAAAAGATACGAATGTATAAACTTCTGCCAACTACTGCGACATCGCTTCGTGGAAAACGGGACACGTAATTAGACACGTTCATCAAGCCTGCAAAGTTTAACATCCAACGTATCTCAACTCGCTCGTCGGCGAATTATTCGAGGAGTCAGCGATGCAGCGTCTCACGCGCGGCCAATCAAGATGGCACTCGAACAATGGTGTATTCTCGAAAATCCGAGGTATAGAACACCGCCGTCCGATCTCATACAAACGTTGCACTGTGTGCCTCGAAACTCGCCGCGCACGCCGTACTATCGAGCCACAACAGCTGGTCTCGCTTTTACGGCGAACGAGATAGCTTTGATTAAACAAGCCGCGCCCAAGGTTCCCGCGGATGCGGTTAATGCGGCACTTGTGGTTTATCCTCGCGATCAAATGAGATCAATAGAGCTATTAAGGAATTTACCTGAAACAACTGACAAATCGTCTGGACATTCCCTCGTTCAATTTTCTCGTGAAAACGTGACGAATCGTCTCGTTTAATTCTTAAATCGGGATTTCTTGCACGGTTGAAGTTTAGCTGATTAATAATAATTGCGAGGAAATTGTAATAAACGCTAACGTACATCATTTTGAACGGAAAGTGTAGTACGTACTTCAAACATATCTTTTCACAACATCGCAATTTATTATTTAATATAAAAAGAACATATTCTCTCTCTAATATTCAGCTTATCGCAGCAATTTTAACAGATAGCCGATAAAGCGGAATAACGAGCAGTAACAAAGTTTCTGCTATGTACTGAGTATTGTCATAATAAATACGCGCTCAACAACTAACTCGCGCAAAGTACGTAAAAGCGATTATGCCGATCGTTACAAACGCGCGTAGTTGTTAGATGCAATATTCGATGCGTATTTGCATCATAATCATTCGAAAAACGGCCACGTTTGACCGATGACTCCCCTCGCCATTCGTGACGACATAGCGTTTAATTTCCCCGATTGCAACGTAATGAAACACGCTCGCGCGCCCGCGCGTATTACGGGCGAAACGTATTAGTCGCGCGGCGGTATTCGTCGCGCGGCCTGGCTCGGCACGGGATCGAGTTAGGTCGACCGGAGACGGCGATTAATCACCAGCGGTACAACTTAATTATTGTCTGTGCCCCCGTTAATCCGTCCGCGCGCATTGCTTTCTCTCTCTCTCTCTCTCTCTCTTGCGCGCGCACGCGTGTATGTACACGCGTCGTACGCGATTTGGTCGCGCTCGAACAGATACACCGATCGTCCGATGAATCCGCGATAACACTCGTAATTAATCGAATTTCATTTTTGCGGATTACGCGCAGAGGCCGCATGCGAATGGCTCGCATCGTCGATATAGGATTATTTTTCAATGCCGCCGTCGTCGGATGTTCGCGCGTAGGTGGATAGAGATTAAGCGCGGCGCGATAGTCCCGATGTGCAAACCTTTCGTTAATTAGCTGCATTACGACACGCTCGTTGAATGATATTTATTTCTTTGCTCTACGAGCGCTATTTCTACGCTTTAATCTGCGGATTATCGCGTCGTAAACATCAATAATTATACAAATTAAGTCGAATCGAATCTAATTTGAAGCGTTATCAAAGTCAGAATGCAAGGGACTTTTTAAATGTTACACGCACGAATATTTCAAAGCGATATCGCGTTTGCGAGCGAATCTGAAACGTTGAGAATGACGTATGATACACGAGGCGCAATTTTCGATTACCAGAATAATTCAAGACTTGGCCGAAAGAAGACTGGCTTCCAGGTGCCGGGGCCAGCACCTTGCCGATACTTCTCCCTTTAGTTTTCCGAACGATATTTCCTCGTGATTTACGCGCGTAGCTGACTATAAAGGCCGCGAACACGAAACGACCTCCTCCCGCGGTCGCCGTTACAGGCAGCCGCTATTATTTCGCCACTTTAGCGGGAGTGGCGTGTACGTTGTCCGAGAAGAGTGACTGATTCGCACCTGCGGGGGCAGACAGGACGAAGATGCCGTCGAGAGCGTGGGCCGTAGCCGATCAGTAATAACGAATAAAGCCCACGCGGCGGCCGCTGCGGAGCATGCCGCAGGAGTAATCCTTTTCGAGAGATACTCGAGCTCCTCACCCACGGGCACTTGCACGTTCTACGGATATTCCTCGGTCGACGAAGCGCCACAATTCCGATGCCGGCGCGAGCTGGATATTTACCTCGCGGAATAAATACAACGCAACTCGTTCGATTCGCATAACTCGCACAACCGCTGCGGTATAACGTGCAATGTTTATTGAAGCACGCGACGCTTCGTCGTCGGCACTGGAGGAGTTCATCGTTTCTACCGTGAGAGATATCGTAACTCGATGGCTCCAGGGAAATCGGTGAAGTCCGTTATTGCACTGTCCCGGCTGGAAGACACAGTGGCAGGTAGTTTACACGTTCGATAAGTGACGGCGGTGTCGAGACGAACGACACGGGCAAATTTCTCACGTGCCGTTGGCACACTCGGAGTTTACTCGTCGACGACAATGTCCTCCCGTGTTCCTCGGGGAACGGAATCGTACGGCGCGCGATTCTACTCGGCAAACTTGCCAGTGCAAACTGCAGCGTCGCGCTTCGCATACCCGCGTTATGCGAAGAGACGAATTAACAGCTACGCCCGCAGTTTTATACACGCAGATTTAATTTAAGACTCCGGGGAGTCCCCGAACGTGACGCGAATGCAATTTCGCCGGAAGCGAAATGTTGATCGATCCAACGTTCCCCGATGTTTCTCTCCCAAGTATTTTCGTTTCTATTTATGAGATCATTAAATTCCGCGAGTGAATATCGCACGCTCCAAGTAAATTGTAAATCGGCGCGCTTTCTACGCGCGCGCGCGCGACTTTAACTGCGCGCGTATAAAATTTTATTTCACCGTAAACCAGATCTTTGTTATCACTCTGTCGCTCGTGACTCGGGGATTTAGATAAAGGGCAACAAATACGGCAGGTTACGAAAAATATTTGGATTCCCGCGATGCGCCAGCAGTGTATCAGAGCCGTGGCAGCTCTTGAGAGAAATATCTCTGGAGTTCTTGTTCCGCAGAAACGGTTACCAAGATAAGGCGGCACGTCCGTGCAGCATGCGGTCACGGCGTATAAGTGTACTCGGGTAAATGGTTGGTTATGTTTGCAATTTATTATCTTGCGGAGAGATAGATGCACCTAACGCATCTGGGCACAATACCGCGTTAAGTCGCAACCGGAGTCGTCGCTGTACCTGTCACAATGGCCAGCTGCAAAGCAATGTTTGCGTTACGTATCACCCATTGAATCTTTCTCGTGCCGGTATACATACACGATTCTTATGACTTATATCGCGAACGTGCAACGGAGATAAAAGGGACACGCGTGGGGCATTATGGCGAGGGATTCGACACGGTTGACCTTTTTCGCATATTTTACTTATGATAGAATTCGCAGTATGAAACTGATAATAACAATAGAAAGAACTGGTCGCGAAATTACGATTGAAAAACTTGGCCATTGTGTTGACCTTTAAATTTTTATTTTATGTTAATGAAGTATTTTTTTCATTTTTATTTTTATTCTTGTATTTATTCCAACGTAAAAAGGATTTCTAGTTTTGCTTGAGATCACAAATATACATTTGCTTTGAATCAAAAACATCATTATCATAAGCGTGTTAAAAGCTACAATATTTTCATGCGTTCACGTCTCTATTTGTCTCGTATCTCCTTTTTTTTTTTTTACTTAAAATTTACATCACCGTGCATTATTATATTTCTTCTTCGACGCAAATTATGCAAATCTACGATCAGCTATTAAAGATATCTCGTCCCGACAAGCGGATCGAATAACGCGTCTACGTTCGAGCCGAAGACAAATCGCGGCGACCGAGGGTCGGCCAACCGTCGTTGGCGTGCCTACGCTACGCGACTTACTTTGTAGCGTTTTCGGATTCTGCACGTTTCCCAGTGCCTACGCGAGTTACCTTTCATTTCTCACGGCTGCGTCACCGGCACTAAACCCAGGATCAAAAACTCGCCGCAAAGAGAAAACAAAATCTCTCGCGTCCATTGACAGCGCTTGCCCACGCGATCGCCCGCGCGCTGTTTCTGTGCAGGTGCTGCAGATGCGTTGCTTGCTGCGCTCTCGCGTATACTATGATATGCTGCCGCGGATATATGTACATGCGCAACGCCCACGCTGCTCGTCCGTGCCGCATGCATTTATGCGGCGAACGAACGGGTGATTTTTCAGCGTGTTCGAGCCATGAATGGGCGCCTCGTCGTGTTGGTTTTACGGACACGAGCGCGGCTCCGCGCTCAGGCGCTCTTCTCCTCCTCGTCGTTGATTTTGCGTACGTTTGGCGCCATCGCAGGTCCGTGATCTCCGTCGGAAGATAAAAAGGGTACGAGGCTCTTGATGGCCACATGGAGTGTTTTTTGGGATTACGATATTTCGCTTTGGCCCTGAACGTTTTATTTTACGGTCGATGATTTTTCGAATTTCTGCATACTTATTTATTTTCGTTACTTAATAATCAATAATTCACGTCATCAGAACATTGCGCATAAATTCGGTGAGGCTATTTTGTCATTTTTTTGACTTAGCAGAAATTCATACCTATAATTCATTCGATAGAGAATGTTGGTTGGGATTCGTAACGAACGTTAGCTGACATTTCAATTGGGTTATTCCGAACAATTATATGTATGTATTCCAATCGGCATCTAAACGATTTTGTGATCCCATTCAATCCCGAGGAAATCAATTTCAAATGGTAGCCCATACTGGTCTAAATCGAAGATAGGAGCGGAAGCGATATGTTTTCAATCGAAAAATTGATTGCATCCGCCGTGACCGCGACTTGACGTGTACAGGCAAAGACAGAAGCGGCGCGCGAAGACACATGTCACATTCGTGAGTGATCTTTGTAGAGTTGGCAAACACACTCGGAATACTCTGAGAGAGCGCTCTCAAGTTGATTGCAGGCGGCTGCACGAGACCGGCGTACGAAATGTTCTCTTGCGGGCAATATACGTCTCGCGGTTTGCCTCGATTCGACAAATTTACCCCTTCGTCGATTCCGAGACTCCTCGCTTCATCGGAAACGATCACGAGCGAGGCAATAATTTCTTTTTCACCGGCACGGTCGGTTAATTCCCAAATTGAGAGAGAGAAAGACAATCGACACGATGAGGCGCAAACCGCACTAATGTCTCGTCATTACGTTACCTCCGGCGAGTTAATAATTTTGCAATCACCAAAGAGAGAGACGCCGGTGGTTATCGCGAGCCAAGCACAAATTACCCGTGTCAGTTACCCGGCTCGGGGTTTCAGGCCACGGTGTTCGGTAAACAAGTCCCCCGCGCACGGCGTGTAATTTTCCCTGATCATAATAACTACCCCCTAACGAGAGGGTAATTTCGAAACGGCACGTCCGGCACGGTCCCTCTCTCTTTCTCGATCCTGTAATTCGACGTCTCGCGCATTTTCCTCGCCTACAGAACGAATAAATATTTACGAGCGACCGGGACTCATTAGGTGACGCTGCCAACGACGGCAATTTACATCGAAAAAGACATTTTGCCCGCAAATTTCCAATGCAACGCCAATTTCTCAGCGCAACTTTCAGTTCGCGATCACTTTTCTTCTTACTTTATAGTCTCCCGAAGTTTGCCGGCATTTTGGTATTTCGTTACCTCGTACATGAAATCTGTCTTTTCACCGCTTGTCGTTCATAAAATTTGTCTTCGTGCGTAGCCACGTCGGATGACTTTTGTCTCCGACTACGCGCTGGATGTTAACAAAGTAGTTCACGGTGAAAGGTCTTTTTCTCCGTTGGTCGGATGTACAATACGTTCGGAACGAGCAAAATCAGAAAAGAAAGACGCATCCATCACTCTGACTTGTCACGTTTCTGGCGGATACACAGTTGACAAACGATGCAACGTAAATACGATTGCGTAAATAGCGCTTAGGACAATGCAAAAAAAAATCATTAATATTTAACTGCAAGATTTGAAGTTTTGGTGCGCTCAATTTTTGACGCAGTAAATACGAAAAAAAGTTCTCATGTCAATCATTGTTTCTATTTTTCCGCAAATAAATATATTTATTTTCGTATATCTACTATATTAAAATCTCATCTTATCGATGACGATACATCGATTTTTATACATGCTTAGCAGTTGCTCCAAAATTTCACGAATATTTGCAGCTTTGCCGAATCAGCGTTCCTTGCGCGGTACAGCACGTCAGAAGCAGCACTAAAAGTTATGTCGATTGGCCATATGCCAGTCGGCAGGTTTACGTCGGCCGATATCTCTCGATAAGATCAGCAAAATCGCGTAGCGACGTCGAAACCGGGCACAATATTCATGTTGCACCGCGAGCGTTACCGGATGACAATCAATTACGGATCCAAGTGACAGTCTAATCCACTACCACGCGACACCCTTGAAATATTTATCGACATAATTAAAAATCAGCATGAGCCTTTAACAGCCATTAAGATGTCTCGACGTATAAATAAGTCGCGAATTAGCATTTTACGACACATCCCGATGGTCATTTGAAGGAACTGCGCGTTCAATTTTTTCCAAATCCTTTTCTTTCTTGTCGTTCGCAGAATCTCGCGCCACCGCCGATTCTTGCTCCTATTAATGCTCTTATGCCGCAAAGGCAAGGCTTCTGTTCGAGAACCCGCCGCGGCCAGTTTTCACGCGAGTCGAAGAAACTCGAGAAAGTGAACGCGAGGAGACTAAACGCGTTCTGACGTATTTTGGTTCAAATACAAAATTTTTTATCAGCTTAAACTCACAGGAGAATTAATAAGAATAAGAAAAATCCGACACTAAGATGACAATCAATATCGAGAGCATCATACTTTTACATTGCAATTAAATCAAGTTGATTGAACAAGGCTGCAATGTCGCGGACGAATCGTATGATTAGTATAAGCAGATTGATATTTAAGCAGGATTAAATAAGGATATGTATTTGCATGACACTTACCTCTGATATTAGATACACCTTGCCGAGCCTCGAGGTTGGGCTGCACTACGGCGATTAAAATCTGGAGCATCAATAGACACCGCATGATTGACATTGAATCGAACATTGTATCTTGCTAATGAAACGCGATCCCTTTGGTGTCTGCCGATGTTCTTCTTTATCCTGGAACACACACGTCGTAATCGTAACGTGAGTTTCTCGTTAAATTCACTCATTACGCAGCGAATAGCGTCACTCCCGCGATTTAAGTTACAAATTAAGGCTTTGTTAAGCTCGGAGAATGTTCAACCGGCCGCGAAACGTAGAAAGAACTTGTAAAAAAAGTACTTAATTAAGCTCTCTTTGACCATTGCCCGGGAGAAAAATCTTAAGAGTCGAAAGAAAGGTGAAAGAGGAATTTTATCTCTCTACGAGAATGAAAGGGATAAGACATTTTTATTCATGTCCGTTCCTCCGGATAAAAAGTCTCGCCGGTGGAAGAATGAGATAGGCAATCAGCTTTATCCCATATTTTCTGCGCGCGACGCTTATACTCGAATATAACGCGTCTCGCGCGATTTTCTCAAACGCGTCGTGCTGCCGAGCTGGCTTCAGGGTCGTTTTCATGGCAACGCTCCATAGTTACGATAATTGGAATTCGTTCAACAATACCGTGCCGATGATCGAGTCCAACAAGCTACTGAATTCTTCTACCCGGGTTATAGCCCGGTTCGAAACATGACTCTTGCGTCTCTCTCGCGGACAATGGAATTATAGCTCCGCGGTGTTTCTCGTCGGAAACGCAAGCTAAGAGATGACGTCGTTGACGGGTGCTTATCGGAAACTTCGGATTTTAAAATCGTGATTGTAATCTCAGCCATAATTTGCATACAGGTTCGTTCCTACTTAATAATCTATCAACTAGCATTAACATATTTTAATTTATAATGAGTGTTATTCGAACAACATTGTTGTCAAAATTGTTTTTATCTCGCGGCATAATTTGTAATACAGTTTTTTAATAATTGATTAATTAATATTAACTAGTCTGATCTTTGTAATATATTCGGCAAAGTTCTCGAATATAATGATCACATCGTATAAGCTGCACGCTGATTTCATCCATACGAGTAGCTTATGTTTTTTCTCACAATCACACCTTCACATCGAAATCAAACCTGATGCTTCACGCATTGAAGGCGCGAGGAAGGTTCACAAGCAGGGATGGTCGGATGGGGAGGGGGGAGTCAAAGCAAGTTCATTAATGCGACGCGGAATTGGTAATTAGCTAGGAATAACGTTGCAACGGTGCAAATTATAAGTATCGGTGTAGCCGTATACTCGACAATTGTATGCCGCGTCAGTAACAGACATAACCACTTACGATGCAAACCGTAGAATATTAATAAGCGGACCGTACAGCTTTTAAAGCGCCTCGCATCAACTCGATTGAGTTATCACGCCTGTAATATGCCACATCGGCCGGCGACATCATTGTGGATTAACGGCGTGAGTGTCATTAGAGGATGATGAGAGTTTACGGCGAATGAACATGCATTCTGCGCGCAATCCTTACGTATATTTATAATTGATGTTCGACCGGAAGTGGGCGGTTTCGCCGCTTCTTGGATAAACATTTATTTTTTTGTGGAAAGGAAGAAAACTCGATTGAAAAAATAGAGATGGCAAAGTGAGAGGCAACGGAAATGCATTTCAATAACTATCGAAACCAGTAGGTAATCGTATGTGAAAATATCGAAGCTCGAATGAAAAGGCACGAACGAGAAAGCGAATAAATTCTGAAGTCGATCGAGTGCGATTAATATCTACAGGCGTTCCCGTCGACGTTTACTACCGTTAAACTTTTAAATGTTGACATAATTAATATGACAACCCACCCAACGAGCGAATTATGCGACGTGAAATAATCTCGCGATTGTTATATGAGTTCGCGTAAGTGCTTTTTTTTTGACATAAAACGATTTTCACTGAGCTGCAAAAAATGCCAACGATGAAGTCCATTAATCTTGCGCTTTTCGAGTGCTTTTCGCTTGTCGGTTCTCAAATTACACGCATTCGCGTAACATGCTTTCGTTTGTAATAACGAACAAAATTTAATTAATATTGATTAGCTGGAAAAAAATTCTGCCAAATAAATTGCCACTGATACCATGAAGAAATAAAAAGTATTATTACTGTTATAATGCTATCATGATTTATTTTCATAATTTGATTATTTAAGTAATAAAAAAAGAAATTATCGGATGATTACACTTACGTATTCCGAATGGAATTATTAAATCCGTAACGCGTTTTTTTCATAAGCCTTACTATGTGCGCAGCTAGGATAATAAATTAAGCGACCACATAATAAATTTCTATCCGTACAGCAGCTATCGTGTTTGCTTCGCATTGCGATATTTTACTCGTATTTT